ATTTCGGTACACAGTTCGTTAGACTACAATTGTGGTATATATGTCAAGTACATACATATCATATTTAGTAATTCAAGATTGAATTATTTAAAGCATTTTAAGATCTAGCTTCGACCTTATAGGGCTCTTATTTATCAATTCTAATAAGGGTTAAATAAAATTTTTTCACTGTTGTATTTAACTGCGTTATTTGTTATTTACGCACTCTATATTTACGTTACAAAGATACTTTAATATATTCTATTTGTACACAGGAATGTTGAAATAACGGACATATGGAAAACAGCATCTAGCAGTGTAAAGCATTTCTTCCTGATTTTCGAAAGCACGGATTCACACTTGGGCGCGGAAGTCATTCTTGATCTACATAAAATCAGCAGCTTACAGATACGTAGAGTGACTTCCGACAACGAACTATTGTGCGTAATGAACAAAGTTACCAAGTTCCCAACTTTGATAGCCTTTGGACGCAATGAATCACAAAGGATTATCAGCGTGAGAATACCGACGAGGCAGGGAATTCGGCAAGCTATCAAGGATTATGTAATTGCGAGAGGAGTGAATATCGACGAGATGGTTACGACAGTGTCCCATAATACTGTGCATATTGTGGAAATCACACGTCAAACAACAATTGCAACAATTACAAAGAATCACCAAGTGGTAGAGGAACAATTACAATCGTCGAAAAACACCAATGATTATTTGTATCAAGTTGATTTAGAAAATGCGCTACGTTATTCAATCAATCACGAGATATCTTTGATCAGGTCAATAGACGGTGAGAAAATGAAGGCATTACGGAAATATCTTATGGTGTTGGCGACATATTTTCCTCTGCGACGTAATAACGTATATTTGGAGGTAATACGCGACGTTGTCGAGAAGAAGAATGCTATGACCGGCGAAGAGTTCAGCCAACTAGCGAAGACAACGGAGGAAGAAATGTCGCCGGTATACTCGGGAGCGCCCCGTCAATGGATAGGATGTAAGGGAAGTACGGATTCATATCGTGGATATCCTTGCGGATTATGGACCATGTTTCACATGCTAACTGTAAATTTCGCATTAGAACGCAACAAAGATGTTACTCAGGCTTTCTCACGAGATCCTACGGCGGTGCTACGGGCGATGCATGGCTATATTGGAACCTTCTTCGGTTGCGCCGACTGTGCTGCGCATTTTCTGGAGATGTCCGACAAAAACAAGATATTTGACGTGCGTAGCAAAGATGAAGCAGTGCTCTGGTTATGGCAGGCACACAATCAGGTAAACACCCGATTATCAGGTGACGATACGGAGGATCCCGAGCATAAAAAGATACAATATCCCGCGGCTGAGCACTGCCCGGTATGCAGACATGTTAACAATAGCTGGAACGAGGAGGAGGTTTTACGGTATCTAAAAATCAAATATGGCTATAAAAGCATCAAGTTCGATGAAATCAGCGCTTCTGATGAAGTAGATGTCACTAATGGCAACGACTCGAGAATGAGGCTGGAAAGACTCGCCAAGGAGACGAAGCGCGCCACGGCTTTTGGTTGGGACTTGAACGTATTCGATATCAGCATCTGCGTGGTATTGTATGTTACTTCAGCTGCAATACTCGTGTTAGTATGCATCAAGTTCGCCGTTAAAAGGACATATAAAAAAAAGAGTCACATTAATCTACTGTCTAAAGTATAATCTTTTTCTTATACTTTGCACTACATGCGCATAATCGTGTAACGTGTTTCTGGACCAGTAAGTATCACTCAGGCACTTAAGTTTCAAGATAACTCTTAAATTTCAAATTCTTTGGTTGTGATATCCTCCAAATATAATAATCATTCCAACGGCGACGAAAGTCGAATTCGGGCGAATGCAATTCAAGAATTTTTCTGCATTAAACTGATAGCGCCAATAGCGAAATAGCATTGATGATAAGAAACCAAGAAATCAAAATGAATTTAAGCTTTACAATAATTTAAAAACACACTCTCTCTCTCTCTCTCTCTCTCTCTCTCTCTCTCTCTCTCTCTCTCTCTCTCGATTTCAAGTAAGGAAACGTTTAACCAGAATCAGATGTTTTGCAGATTATATAAAAAATATATTGAATTTTTTTACTGATCAAAGCAGCATGCATTTTATATCGAATGCTCTCAAAATCAGACGATATATTCTTTCGTGTTTTTCTAAATGAAAATTGAATTGCGATCAATTATAAAATTCTCTTCAAGATTTTCAAACTATATTATGTACTTTGTAATGTTTTTAAACTCGTCCAAAGAATATATCTTTATTATATTATCAAGTTTTGTGAAAAGTGGTTTCTATTTAGATATTCGCATCATGTAAAAGATAGAAATATAGATGTATGTCTGATTACAATATACGAGGATAGTTCGAAAAGTTCTTAGTCTGATACAAAAATGACACCACAAATATCAACCTGTTATAATTTTGAACAAGTTTGATTCATCACAGGGCTATTGTTGAAATTTCAGACAGATGCGTTCATTAGTTCCTTTGTTTTGGTTGTGTAAAGCAACCAACTTTTGGTTACATCATGACAATGCACCAGCTTACATTTCTTCAATTGCAGTTTACCAAATTTCGTAAATTGGTCCCGTAAAGCACCATTTCACCAGATTTCACATAATCTTTCATCATTTCTGTGTCAGGCTGAGAATTTTTCAAACTACCCTCCCAGAAAGGTATAAAAAAAAATGACAAGAATGACTCAAGTACATAATTCATAAAATACAGTCAATTATTTAATCTCACTATATGTACAGAATAATGTGTGTTGTCTCATCTTGCTGTAGCATGTTAAAGATTATATGCATTTATAATCATGAAACCAATATGTCAAAAAATAATACCAGTGTTTAGCGCTTCTTTACCTGAAAGCGATGTGATTGATCGTAAAATGATTTTCTCTCAGAATTATATTATTATTATTATTAATTATATTGGAAATCCTAAACAGTATAAAATCACAATACAATTAATTACCATAGTATATCAGATATCGAAAAATAATACTCTATTTTATTCTAGCTTCATGCGCTTCCTGAAATAATTTATATGCGCCTTCCTTTTATATTATTATATATAGTTCGTTTACACTTTATATTATTGACATGAGAAACTTTATACTGTTTAGGGTAAATAAATGTTCAGATAAGGAAAAAATTGTACACATGATTGTTGATATTTAATTAAATATTAAACAAAATGTCAAATCTTATAATCTCTGGTTGGTATAATGTAATTGTAAACTCGAGTAATCATAGACCATGTTCCAAAATTTACTCTAAGCGTTGAAAATTTATAGCTCATGTTACGTGTACTACAGATTTTCAATACTAGCAGTGAATTTTAGAACACAATGAGAGAGATTGTATAAAAGATTATGTGATTGGGAGTTACAAATCACAAATGACTATACTGATAAAAGTCGATCTTTTATGAATATTTAATTTGTAAATAGGTATCTGAGAAAAATTATTTCTTCCTTTTACTGATTATGTATATAAACCATTGTCTTTCTTATATGTACAGTTTTTTATAATAAAATACTCATATAATGTACAATTATAAATATTCTGTTGTCTTTAAAGATAATAACAAAATCGACATGCTTCATAAAGTATTTCAAACAATCATAAAGTTTTCTTTGAAAAATAATACATTAGGCAATTAAGGACCGATTGTTCCACCCTTCAATAAATTTTATGAGTTAGGTAACTAGCAAGATTACCCAGTCACACATGCGCAGATTGCCAAGACCTCCTAGTGTATAAAATTTACCAAAAGGTGGAACAACCAGCCTTAAGAAAGTCAGAAGAAAGTTGGGAAATTTTTGACGTGTTCATTCAGCCTTATCATAAGAGACAATTAATGTTAATAATTAATGTACTTTTAGATGTGCCAAAAAAATATATGAAGGTTTGTGTATATATACTAAATAAAATTATACAATGTGTATTTGATAAATCTTGTTTACAACAGTTACACAGAATAGATAATATGCTTTAAAGTGTAATAAATTATTAATTACTTCAGTCAGTATGCTTCGTGTTTAAAAAAGTCAAGTCTTTTTAACCATTGAAATTAGTCTGTTCTTTGGCCATCAAGGTATCTTTGATACTCTTTAATGTTTGTAACGCATCTCATAATTTGAAAAGAATCACAACACTTAATCACAGTAATTCAATCTTTTTTCAAACACAAGTGATGCCATGAAATTCCATCGTGAGGCAACTGTGACTTTATATAAGGAAGCAGCCATGTTAGATACCATCGTTCTCCAAATACCTCCCTAATGTTGTCCTTCCAACCCATATTATACGTAAAATCTTTCCTGTTGCTCTCATTGCCCACAATGCCCCTGAGAATCAAATTAAAGTGATAAATGCACAACACTCCGGTATATAAAGTGCCCACCGCCGACATGACATACAGCAACAAGTAGAATTGATCGATGGAGCTGTCGAAGCCAAAGAAGAAGATTGCGACGGGAAAGATCATCTTGACGATAGACATTGGAAATTCGAAGGGTATCCTGCTCCAAATGAAGAGATTGCCGTAGCAGAAGGCATACGCTGCACCAAGGAACAGGTACCACAGGAACATGACAAAGTACCTATGATTGTAATAGCCTATGCAACAGCCAGTGAATACGCAGTGGTGATCGCGTTTGAGGATGCAGGTATCACAGGTATTGCAATGCCACGAGCGTGGCGGTGACAAGCATTCACAGGCTGCGCAAAGCCTCCAACCGTCCGCTGCCTTCGCAGTGCTTACTGGTACTATCTGCCCACTGGTGCTGGTGTCGCACAGCACCGTATACGTAAAGTTACCTACAATATTCAACATAATGAAGTTGCCAAGGACGAAATGGAACATGTACGTCAAGCTCGCGTCCCTGTACAATTCTGGTAAGACTATCCACAATCCAAACCAGTACATGAGTGGTGCTACAGTCAGGACGAAGGCCATTGACAGCAGATCGCTGATAGTCCGCGGCCACACTTTTCTCCGGATCACCATCGTAAAGTGAGTTCGTTTCTCTCAAATTACATTAATTTCAGCTGCTTCTTCACTTTTACTGTCGTTGCTTTATCCAGTTTCTTAGAATAGAAATACGACTAATCACTAATGCCTACTGTACATACACTGCGTGCATTGAGTGCATTCAGTACCATAATCACTCACTGAGCGCTCAGTGAGCTCTTGTATCTGTTTGGTCTATATTTTTAGTTCTAACGGAATATGCCAATAAGATGCAAGTGCTCACTGAGCGTTCAGTGAGCGCATTCAGCGGACTCAACAGTTGAATGAGGGCTCGCTGTTATTGGTGTATTCTTTTAGATCATCCAATCAGAATTTTAGATCTAGAAGAATACATCAATAGCAGCGAACGCTCACTCAACTGTTGAGTCCGCTGAATGCAGCCAGTGAGCGGTTGTAATACTGAATGCACCCATTCAATATCACGGCCGCTCAGTGCGCTCTTGTATTATATCTGTTTGATTTATATTTTTAGTTCTAACAGAATATACCAATAATATGCAAGCATTCAGTGTAGCACTTCTTCTTCTTTGTTCTTCTTATTGGCTCTCACCTCCAAGTAGATAGTAGGAGGACGATACGACAAGGTCACGTCTTAATGTGGAATAGTGCTGCGTTGATTGTAAATCGGCACTAAGGTAGGATATGTATACGGGCATGCGCCGAGGTGGAGCAGAATACTCACACCATAACTTTCGCGACGGAGTGCCGAGCGGAGTAGACGCTCCGCTAGGATAGAGGAGGGAGGGGCAAAAGCAGGACTTGCGCCTGCGCGGACGTCGCGAGAAGGCGCGAAATAATAATACATATGAATCAAAAGGGATTATTACAAGATCTGCTAAAACTAAGAATTAAGTGACAAATGCTTTCCGAGGGATTAGAAATAGCTTGCAAAAATTTAAAGTAGGAGTCCCCCTCATCTGAGACGCGATCAACTGCCCGCCGCAGAAAGAGGGCTTTAGAGTAAGTATCCGAACAATTATATATAAAGTGAAAAATGTCTTGTTGAGGAAACCCGCATGTGCAAGAGGAATTATCGATCAAATTTTTGCGAAAAAGACTGGAATTAAGATTATAATGGTTTGAACGCAACCGGTTGAGAGTAACGATTTCCTCCCTGGAAATCTTTTTTCGGAAGTACCAGGGTTTGAGGATCTAGAGAAAATGTGCTAAAAAAAGAAGGTGCCCTTAGAAGAGTTATCAAGGTAACGGTAAAAGTCGCTCTGTATGTCCTGATTGATTATGACAGAAAGGTCTGAGTACGGAACTTTAAAGTTTGGTTCAATGCCTTGTCGTATGGCTCTCTTGACGAGGTTGTCAGCCTTTTCATACCAACGATACCGTGATGAGAAGGGACCCAAATGAATTGCACCCTCATGCCGGCGTTCGCAGCCTCCTCCAAGCGCGCCCTTATTAGATGAATAAGATAATTATTGGTGCGGTTACGGAAACCCCGAATAGCCTTCAGGACGCTCTTATGGCTCTTGCACACTGGACGCGGAAAAGTTTACCGCGCGGTAAAATGCAATGCGGTAACCAATGAACATGTTAGGAGCTGTAAACTCATTGGCTACCGCGTCACATTTTGCCACGCGGCAAACGTTTCCGCGTCCAGTGTACAGGAACCATTAGAATCGGTGACGACTGTGATGTAGGTCAGATGGAGATCAAGGGCAACAAGGATTGCATTATAAATTGCAAAAGCTTCAGCGGAGAAAACTGAGGTGTAAGAGGAAAGATTATACATGACTTCAGCGTGGATTTGAGGGGAATAGACAGCGGCTCCGACGTAAGTGTTGTGATTTTGTCGATTTTGGAACCGTCCGTATAAAATATCGTAGAGTTAGGACATGGAAAGTTAGTTCGAATATGGGTTGTGCAAATTGTTTTGGGAGCTGGTTAAGGGTGTCG